TTCAAACCAATTTAATAGCATCAATGCATAACCAATGCATTGATTCTGCTAATTTAATTTGTATCTTCAGTGCATAAAGACCAGTATACAAAAGAAATTAACTAAATAGCCTTTTAATTTTTAAAACTCCGCCTGTGATCTAGACTTTCTGTTTTTAACAAAATCAGATGGTTTTTTACCATCTGATTTTGTTAAAAATCATGAGACTTTTCAGAAATATGATTAATTTGAACATATGACAAATCACATACCTCTGGCTCCGTTTTTTCAAAATACCAATAATTGACGGACAATGCCAAAACAAACTATATAATATAAACTAGATGATATATTATATAAACTAGATGTCAAACTTGCGGTTCTTTATTGAACAAAAAATTATGTCTTCATTTATAAAAAAATAGTTAAATAGTATTTGTTTACAAATTTAATCCGTCATTTGTAAAAAGGACAAAAGTAGCTTCACTTTTTTTTTAAGACAACTAGTTTATATAAAGTATCATTGGTTAATACACATGTGATCATTATGAAGCATACTTTTAATATCAATGGCTAGATGTGAAAACCAAGATAAATGTAATTACAATCATTTTTCAGTATTCACATGGTTAGGTGTTTTAGTAACATTTATTTCCTATGCCAATGTTTATGCATTCAGACAAGCAAATTATATAATGAAAAATGTACAACTAAATGTTTAATATATATATATATATATATATATATATATATATATATATATATATATATATATATATATATATATATATATATATATATATATATATATATATATATATATATAGCTACATCTGTACTGAAAATATCTAAAAAAATAATAAAAACCATAACAAAAAAATGATTTTCCAAAAAAATGAAAATAATGATAAAAAATGCAATTGTCGAAAGGAAGCAGAATGCCCCATGAATGGAAAGTGTAATCCACAAACGTTATATATAAATGTATCATAGCAGCTAAAAATCAGCCCTACAAAGTGTATATTGGATTAACGGAAGGCGAGTGGAAAAACAGATGCAACAATCACAAATCATCATTCAATAATGTTAAATACAAAAAGTCCACCGCTTTATCAAACTATGTCTGGGGTTTGAAAAATAATTTTAACGAAACCCCAATCTATTCTGAAATCTGTAACCCCCTACTCAAATATTTCTAAAAGGCGCCCACTATGTCTATACGAGAAATTCGCAATTATATCCTATCCTAAACCTGATATAAATAAAACGAAACGAAGTCATATCAAAGTGCCGCCACGAAAACAAGTTTTTATTAAAAGCTACAAAGCTCGCTACAAACCTAACTAACCACTAACATTAACTACGCAACCCTATTTCGTACACCTCTAGGCTAACCAATAAATTATTCACATACACAGCTTTTGTAATATATTTTGTAATATAATTTATATTCTTATACCCACTTTTGAAACTTATTTTTATATTCATTTATTTTTAATACAATAATTTTTAAAAACATTTCACATTATTATTAAATAGTATTTTTATAACAGACATTAAAACATACAACAACTTCACATATATTAACCAAAAACAAATTAATAATAACATTAACCTTAACTACTAAACAATTTCCGTCCTATAACGATCTAAAATACTAATATAAACCGTAAATTTTTTCTAAACACATTGTAGCAAAATTAACTTTTGACTACTTGCCTGATGATTGTCGTAACACATGAAACTTTAAGTCGCAATATAATATTATAAATATTAGCATTTAGCTAATTCCTGATACTACGGGTAACAGTAGTATATATACTATATAGCTCTAGTTTATTTATTGAGCACTCTTTAAAACATACATTATTATACATAATAATATAAAAAAATCATCTTTAATATTTACATATATGCACCCACGCATATATATATATATATATATATATATATATATATATATATATATATATATATATATATATATATATATATATATATATATATATATATATATATATATATATATATATATATATATATATATATATATTTATATATATATATATATTTATATATATATATATATATATATTTACTTATAACAATTTATTCATATATTATTAATAATATTTTTAATACTTTTGACATGGATACTTTATAGTATTATAAATACAAAAATTTTATAAAAATTTTGACAATTTTCATAATTCAATTTAGCATTTTTTAACTTTTAAGAAATGAACTTTTATAATCAAAATACTTCAAAATGTTCTATTGATATCATTTTTATAGCCATTTGTATTAGTTTGCTATTGTGTTATATAAATATTCACATGCAATATGTATACTCATTTATAGTAATATTAAAATAATAATTAACAAAATCTTTGCATTTATTCATAATGCCTGCAATGTTCTGAATATACATAAAACAAATAAAAATATAAATAAAGAAATACAAAAATTACCTCTGAATTAACCCAGTAAAAAAAAGACGTCAAGCCGTAATTGTAATTTGGTTGTATTTTGGTCGCGACGCAAGTTAACTAAATTCCAACGATGTTCCAACGTCGGCATAACGGTGATGTTCTAACGTTTGCTATCAAACGTTGGAACAACGTCGGAAAAACGTTATTATCTAAAGTCTTGAATGTTAACATTAAAACAACGTTGGAACAACGTTAGTTGTTTAACGTAAAATTAACGTTAGTCTGATTAACGTTGGAACGACTTTGGAACAACGTTGCTTTTTTTACGTTTTTACTTTTGATATCGAAGCAACGTCTGCTTTCTAACTTAAACACAACTTGATTTTACAAACTTGCGCATTTTTGAAATGGTTGAAAAACCGTTATCGAAAAAGATGTTATTTTTAATCTAATTTTAATTTAAAGGTTTTTAGGCATTATATTCTGTGATACTAATAATTAATACATTGTTTCTTTATATTCTACATTCGAATTAGATATTAAACTTTTATCATATTAATGATAAACAAAAGTTACTAAAACTTTATTTAATTTTCAAAAACTGTTGACATTTTTGTTATGTATTTGTATACTTTGTATAATTAACATTACTTATATAGTAAAAATTTCTAACATATATAATATTTGCACATCATATTTTATTTACAAATAGATAATGCAATGATAGGTTTTTTAAATACCCGTTATTAAACTATTTAGCAGTTTAATTAAATGCCAATAAAAGTACAGAGCCTTTTTTTTTAAGACATCCAATTCAGTTGTCTAAGACAGTTGTAAGTTGTATTAAAACAAGGTTTTTACTTAATATACATAATATATTAAATATAAATTTAAGTTTATTAATTAAGTTATATTAAGACAATGTCTTAATCATAATATATATTTCATTTATTTGAATGGAAAGTATTTTAGTTTGTTGTGGAACTAGACTAGAAATTACCTAATAAGCTTCTTATAACTTGTGTAATGTGTTTAATTTACGAATTTGTATATTGGTATAATCGTATCATGCTATTCCTACAATATTATAACTAACACTGACTCATAAGCTTGAGTCTCAAGTCACAAAAAAGGGTAAACAATTTTTTATGTATTTGTATTAATTTATTTTTATTTTATTTTTTTTATTGTTATTCACCTCCGGCTTACTACCAGGAACATGGTAAGGATAGAACTCATAACTTCTCACTATGAAGCAAGCGAAAAACATATCCTACAGAAACAGCAACAGAACATCTAAATTTTACACTAGATCTTAGTCATAATAAACAAAATATTTGTTTAAATCAATACACACAAAGTGTTAGACTATATACACTCAGTCAGTATTTAATTTTCAAAATGAATCACAATCTCATGTTTCTCTAATTTCAGAGTTGAAAGAAAGAGCTGATTTTGGCCATAAAGGCCATAAAAGGTGCAATATATATATATATATATATATATATATATATATATATATATATATATATATATATATATATATATATATATATATATATATATATATATATATATATATATATATATATATATATATATATATATATATGTATATATATATATATATATATATATATATATATATATATATACATATATACATATATATATATGTATATATATATATGTATATATACATATATACATATATATATATACATAAATACATACATATATATATATATATATATATATATATATATATATATATATATATATAAATATATATATATATATATATATATATATATATATATATATATATATATATATATATATATATATATATATATATATATATGTATATTTTATTCTCTTATTCTCTTATTCTCTTATCTTTCTAACCGAAAAACTAATTAATCTTATATTTTAATAAAACTCATGCCAAGTTAAAATATATATTTTTTGAATGTTATTATTTTTTAAGTACAAAGTTATCAAGGTGTTTAAAATCAGAACAAGTCGACTAAAATATACATAATCACATTATTTAATCTTAAACTTAAATATAACAATAGAATATTTAAACGAGTTTACACTAAGAATTGGTAACATTGCAATAATTTCAATATGTTTAACATGATTTAGAGAACAAAAACTGGACACTATATTTTAACACCCAGCTTTTGAAACAGCGAAAAATTTACAATCACTTTATCAAAATGAATCTAAATCATTTGCTGTTACAAATTATGTCATCCTATTTATTCAGCCTATAAATATTTTTAAACATTTTAGATTGGTTGCAGCATAACAAAGTTGTGAAAAAACAATATTGAATAATTCTAATGTTTGAAAATTTTATTTCCGTTACAAAATTTAGTGAATAAAAATGTTTTATATTTATGAGTTTGCCATGATTGCTCTGATTGAATCATGGCAAAATACTTATTCAGTTCTAACTGTTTATTAAATAAGCTTGGGTCTTTAAGGCTTGACCTTGTGAATGCAGTAAAAAATATTTAATAAAGATCTTATGTGTAAAACACTTCAATGTGCCTTTTTTATATTTTTTTCTTTTTTAAGCCAACTCTCACGTGTTGGCGGAAAGTTAGCAAAATATGTTAAGGACTTAATTCAGAGGTAACGTTTGTATTTCTTCATTTATATTTTTATTTGTTTTATGTATATTCAGAACATTGAAGGCATTATGAATAAATGCAAAGATTTTGTTGATTATTATTTTAATATTACTTTAAATGAGTATACATATTGCATGTGAATAATTATATAACACATTAGCAAACTAATACAAATGGCTATAAAAGTGATATCAATAGAACATTTTAAAATATTTTTATTATAAAAGTTCATTTCTTAAATGTTTATATATTTGTGCATACAGATAAATGTATGATGATATCAAGATCAATTATATTGTAAAAGGCTAGTTGTTTGATAAACAGTTTATTAGTAAATCATAATTATTGAAGTTTAATCAGTGATTTTTTCTTTAAGCCTATTCCAATAGTTTTTATATTTTTGAAAGTGATTCTATGTTATATTTTACTAAACTCTCTATAAAAAGTGCTCATTTAGTAAACCCTTTGATATTTGTCCTGACTTTTAATTTTTGACCTTGTTCAATGGCCAGTTAAACATTTAGTTGCACATTTTTCATTATATAATTTGCTTGTTTGAATGCAGCAACATGGGCATAGGAAATAAATGTTACTAAAACACCTAATCATGTGAATACTGAAAAATTATTTTAATTACATTTATCTTGGTTTTCACATCTAGCCATTGATATTAAAAGTATGCTCCTAATAATCACATGTGTATTAACCAATGATATTTTATATAAACTAATTGTCTTACTTCAATCCAAAAAGTGAAGCCACTTTTGTCCTTTTTACAAATGACAGATTAAACTTGTAAACAAATACTATTTAATTATTTTTTTATATATGAAGTAAATATATTTTTATATATCTAATATATTTTAAATATATATATGTAATCTATATATGTAAAAGTATTGATAGGAAATTAGAGTACTTGTAAAATAATAATTTATGATTTCTAAATTTAATTTTGATTAAAAAGGGACTAAAGTTTAAAATAGAAATAAACCTTGAATAAACCTTGATAAGTACTTTACATTTATTATAAGATGTTTTTGAATTATCTTTAATTTATTGGTTAATTTTGACTTGCATTTTGAACTTTTATTCCACACATTTGCTGTAGCTTTAACACTTTTTACAAATGGCAAATTATATTTTTAAGCAAAAAACGCGACATCATTTTTTGGTCAATAAAGGACCGCAAGATTGACATCTAGTTCATATAATATATCATCTAGTTTATATTATATAGTTTGTTTTAGTATTGCCATCATTTATTGATATTTTGAAAAAACGGAGCTAGAGGTATGTGATTTGTCATATGTTCAAATTAATCATGTTTCTGAAAAGTCTCATGACAAAAAATTGAACTAACAAAACTTTTAACAAAATCAGATGATAAAAAACCATCTGATTTTGTTAAAAACAGAAAGTCTAGATCACAGGTGGAGTTTAAAAAATAAAAGACTATACAGTTAATATCTTTTGTATACTGGTCTCTATGCACTGAAGATACAAATTAAATTAACAGAATTAATGCATTGGTTATGCATTGATTCTATTAAATTGGTTTGGATGACTGGATTATTAAAGTTGTGAATTTTTACGGTCTAACATTCATAACATACAATTTACATAAGCTTATTCATTTTTTATAGTTTTCTGAATGATTGCTTCGTGATATGTCTGCCTTTTTATTTAAAAAATTATTGGCTTTTGGTAAAAAGATTCCACTTGCTCAAATGGTCAAGGGTTTAAGTGAAATATAAGTAGTTCGGATTGGAAGAAAAAACACCTAACAAAGTAATCATTAGTCTTAAAGAGAGCTGTTTATAAAAACAATTTTTGATTCTTTGCTTAGTGAAAATGTACCATTTCAGATTCTTTATTTACCATGCAATTCATGTTATAAAAAAATATATTGCCAAAATAACACTTGTAAAAAAATAACTTTCCAGAAATCTGAACTCAAAGATATTTTATATCTTTTGAAGGTAAAACTAGACATATTTTTTTCCTATTATTTCATGATTGTGTGTTTTAAATTAATTTTGTTTATTTATTCAATTAAAATTATTTTGGAGGCAATTTCATTAGTTTTGCATTTTATTGAGGTATTGTTTATTCTATTTCAGATAATGTTGCTAAACGATTTACAGTCGATAATCTTTCGAAAGCAGAAAAACTCAGGTTAGCATCAAATAGAAAGCTAGCACAATTTCTGGTATTTGTGGTATTTATATTTGTTTATTCCGAATGTTTTTTATTTAGTTCTTAAAAATGCTTTTAATTGGATTTGTTTGTAACTTTATGTTTCTTCATATATATTTGTCTTTTAGTGTCAAACAAAGAATACGCGAATTGTTTGAGATATGATTAAAATTTGCAAAGAAAGTAAAAATCAAACTAGTTTCATTCTTAGTTATTGTATATAATTTTAAAATTTTATTTTAAAAAAAAAGAAGTGATGCAATGTTTATTTATTTTTAGTCTTTTAATTTCCGTATTCAATTATTTGCCCGGACTAATGTAATAATCGTGTATAACCTAAATAAATAAGAAGAAATAAGGCTTGACAACGCAAAGTTATACAGTGTAAAATTGTCCTTTATTGTTTTTTGCAGTGTAGAAATAACATCAAAATGATAGAAAAACGTTGGAGGGCGTTTTTCTTACAACTTTTCGCAACATTGTTAATATAACGTCGACCTATGTTTCATATATGCCATTATTCCAACGTGTAAAAAACGATAAAAAAGACGTTGGCTCAACGTCATTTTAGCTAAAATATAACGTTAACCTAACGTCCTCATAACGTCTGTTTTCTTCAAATTTAACGTTGCTCTAACGTCTTTTCGACGCCATTTAGCTAAAATGTAACGTTGTCACCACGTCATTTTACATTGCTGTAATAACGTTAGTAAAATGACGTTTTTTTGGTGTTTCATTTATAACATCATGCCAACGTCTTTCCAACGATACGAAAGACGTTAGAACAACGTTGTTCCGACGTCATTTTTCTTATTGGGAAGTCCTTAACATATTTTGGTAACTTTCCGCCAACACGTGAGAGTTGGCCTAAAAAAGAAAAAAATATAAAAAAGGCACATTGAAGTGTTTTACACATAAGATCTTATTTAAATATTTTTTATTGCATTCACCAAGATCAAGCCTTAAAGACCCAAGCTTATTTAATAAACAGTTAGAACTGAATAAGTATTTTGCCATGATTCAATCAGAGCAATCATGGCAAACTCATAAATATAAAACATTTTTATTCACTAAATTTTGTAAAATTTTAAAACATTAGAATTATTCAATATTGTTTTTTCACAATTTTGTTAGGCTGCAACCAATCTAAAATGTTTAAAAGTATTTATAGGCTGAATATATAGGATGACATAATTTGTAACAGCAAATGGTTTAGATTCATTTTAATAAAGTGATTGTAAATTTTTTGCTTGCTTCAAAAGCTGGGCGTTAAAATATATTTTTCCGGTTTTGTTCTCTACCTCATGTTAAACATATTGAAATCAAATTCAAACTGTTGAGAAAAAACTTTGTTACCAATTCTTAGGGTAAACTCGTTCAAATATTCTATTGTTAAGTTTAAGTTTAAGATTAAATAATGTGATTATGTATATTTAAGTCGACTTGTTCTGATTTTAAACACCTTGATAACTTAGTACTTTAACTCTGCACATAAAAATTGAAGAAAAATAATAACATTCAAAAATATATATTTTAATTTGGCATGAGTTTTATTCAAATATAAGATTAATTAGTTTTTCGGTTAGAAAGATAAGAGAATAAGTAAATGATAGTACTATGACGATATATATATATGTATGTTTATATATATATATATATATATATACATATATATATATATATATATATATATATATATATATATATATATATATATATATATATATATAGATATATATATATATATATATGTATGTATTTTGGTATAACATATCAATTTTAAAAACTATATCATATCACATATAAAAACTACACACAAATTCATTTGACATGTACTTTATTGAAATACTTCGGAGTTATTGAGTTGAGAGGGGGTTATAACCACAATTGAAATAAAAAGGAGCCTCCTCAACTGAAGCACCTTTTATGGCCTTTTCGGCCAAAACTAGCTCTTACTTTCAGTGTATATCATCTAACACTTTGTGTGTATTGATTTAAATAAATATTTTGTTCATTATGACTAAGATCTAGTGTAAAACTTAGATGTTCTGTAGCTGTTTCTGTAGGATATGTTTTTCGCTTGCTTCATAGTGAGAAGTTATGAGTTCTATCCTTACCATGTTCCTGGTAGTAAGCCGGAGGTGAATAACAATAAAAAAAAAAATAACTTAATACAAATACATAAAAAATTGTTTTCCCTTTTTCGTGACTTGAGACTCAAACTTATGAGAGTCAGTGTTAGTTATAATATTGTAGGAATAGCATGATATGATTATTCCAATATACAAATTCGTAAAAGAAACACATTACACAAGTTATAAGAAGCTTATTAGGTAATTTCTAGTCTAGTTCCACAACAAACTAAAATACTTTCCATTCAAATAAATAAAATATATATTATGATTAAGACATTGTTAAATATTAGTGACATTTAATGTTAAATTAAGACAATTAATGTTAACATTCAACACTTTAGATGATAACGTTTTTCCGACGTTGTTCCATCGTTTGATAGCAAACGTTAGAACAACACCGTTATGCCGACGTTGGAACATCGTTTGAATTTAGTTAACTTGCGTCGCGACCAAAATACAACCAAATTACAACTACGGCTTGACGTCTTTTTTTCTGGATATATATACACTTGTATATGTATATTTGTTTTAACAATGTATATATATATATATATATATATATATATATATATATATATATATATATATATATATATATATATATATATATATATGTATATATATATATATATATATATATATATATACATATATATATATATCTTCTATATAATAATGCCGAACTTAATAGTTTTAATGTCCCTAGTTGTAATAGTTGTAGTGTCCCTAGGAGCGTATTTGACACGAAAACCCTTCGCAGCCATTGCAACCGAGGTAGTGGCGAGTGAGAGTTGCTGCACTTTGTTTTTTTAAAAAACGTGAACGAACGTGTATGGAAATTTCTAACGTATGTAAACTTTAAATTAAGTAATTTTAAAACATACTGAAACGTTTATCAAGTTTTACAGTTTGATTTTCACTTAAAAATTCCATTGCGTCAAGCTCTCCTTAATTTTGATGTACAGCATTTCTTTCCGTTAAAAACGTGATTACATAGTTTTAGAAATTTTCGTTTAACAACGTGCCAGCGTTGCCGAGTATATAGTGCGCTTAGCTTCTGAACAAGTAATCCTTGGTTCGAGTCCAACCATTTAATTATATTTTTAAAATTTTTTGACTGTTTTAAAATACAAAACACTTTTGAATTTTTATAGAGTGTTTGTAAAAACATATGTAACGATATGATACACTTAAACGTACGAAAAGATTTTAAAAAGATAATATTTTTAAATACATCAAAACATCGGGAGAAAAAAAATAAATTTAAAAATTTAAAAGAAAATTATTAAATAGAGATATTTAAACGCAAACAATGTATATATAAACTCTTTGTAGAACGCTTTTTTAAAAAAATTATTTTAATAATTTTTTTCAGAACTTTTTAAAAGTATGTATTCAATAATGATTGTTGGCAAAACCAAAAAAACAAAGCTTATTTTGTAAAAAAGTCAAAAATGATATTTTTTATAATAAAGCGTTTTGAAAAACGGCTGCAATACGAATGATAAAACGAATATGTTGAAATGAGATAATTGGACGCAAAATTTAAAAGTTTTTAACAAAAGCCACTAAACTAAATTAATTAAAAGTAATTGCAGTTCATTGCCTAAAAATTTTAAGTATTGGTGTTTGCAAAGAAACATTATATAAACGAAGAAACATATAATTTTTTTTTTAATAAAAGTAACTTATTTTAAACTTTGTTAAATAGACAGGTTTGGCGCCTAACCATCCCTGTATTAACAATTCATGTAAAAAAATATGTTATTTGTTTATATATATTGTTTATAAAATGTAAAAAATCCACTTATAAAACGTTTTATTCAGTATCGTATGGAACATAAGTAAACTTTTCTAATAATTACAAGTCTCGTTTGCTCAAGCAGTTTTGTTTTGATGCTTAAGTAGGTTAAGTGATTAGTAGGTATGTTATATTTAAAATATATTATATTTAAAAAAAATTGACAAAATTAAATAAACACAAAACATATTGACATCCAAGTGAAAAATTTGAAACTCCAATTTTAGATTTGTTAAAAATATGTCATCTTCCTAAATCCGCCAAACCCGGTAATAAAAACAGCTTAACTGTAAGATTCAAAATTCAACGAATTTTTTTATTACGCTATGTTCACCAACTCTCAAACAACTAAAATAATGTCTTTGCAGTTTATCTAATTAAACCCATTAAATCCGGTAATAAAAACACCTTAATAAAAAGATTTTAAAATTATCTGGTTCTTGAAATATGGTATGAGCGCCAGCTGTACGCTTAAACGACTGAAAATATGCCATGCGATCTGTTCCTTTTCATATATCGTTTATCAAGCAATAAGTTTCATTTCTTTCTATTAAAGTTTATTTATTGTGTTCTTTTTTAAGGTTTAATCTTAATTCAGAATTAACATAATTATTGTTTTTGACAAAAGAATAAAGATTTCTATTTTATTTTAGAAATAAGTAATCAAAATAGAGAAGGTTTGAATATTCTTTTTATCTATTTAATAATACTAAATTTAAGAGTAGTAGTGCCCTTTCGAGCCTGTTTGATACAGACCTCTTGGCAGCCATTGCAATCGAGATAATGGGGAGAGAGAGAGCTGCAACGGCTTTGTTTTATAAGAAAACGTGAACGAAAGTGTATCTTTAAACGAAGGTGTATCTTTGAACGAAACTGTATGTTAAGTGTATTTTCATTATGTATGTAATATCAAGATTTGTAATAATAAATACGTAACATCATGTTTTACAGTTTTACTTGCATTGCGACAACATTATTTCAATTTCGATCTGTAGCATTTATTTTCGTTTTATACAGTCATTTGCTTTTTAAAGAATTTAAAACTTAAGTTGAGTAAGTTGCAATATGGTCGAGCATTTAGCGTGCCGACATACGGAGGTGAATATTGGAGTTAGAGTCCTTTCATTGGAATTCTTTTTTATTTTTTATTAAATTTTTCATTGATTTTATTTAAAATACAGAATAAAACACTATTAAAAGCTTTTAATAGTGTTTTAAATTAAAATTTAAAGCAAAATACTTAAATTAAAATTTAAGTCATGTTCTTAATGAAAACATTTTATTTAAACCTCCTT